GTTTCTTCCCCCCCCCCCACCAAAAGACGTGAAACCGGGCCAGTCCCGGCGCCGCCTGCCGATGGGGATATTGCCAAAAACTCCGCTTGAGGGCAGCCCAGCCCGGCGGGTGCCTCCTCCGAGCAATACGCAGGCTTTTTTCTCCCTCAGAAGCACAGCGGCTGTCGCTGCCTGGCACGCACAAGTATGTGCTTATGACTTGTTTTATTTCAGCCTCGCGAAATAAACCCCGCTTTCCAAATCAGTTGCAAAGCACCGTCGCTCATGAAGCATTAGCATCGCTCCGGATGGCTCTGAAAAAGCCGGTTAGCTTTGTTATGCTTCAGATTTAGTTAACGTCGGGCTCTTTTCCCCTCCTCCCCAAGCTGAACCTGCAAGCCTCTGTGATTTCCCCTTTTGAAACAACCTGAGAGTTTCTGTCTGGGTGTTTCTGGACCCCCAGTGCCGGCCGGGGGGGGGAGCTGCTGGGGGTGGGTGCTGGCTGGTTGTTAGCACCCCCACAACCAAAACCATCTTGGGCCACTCAGCACGGGAGGGGTTTTTACAGCTAGAGTCAAGCTTAGAGGTCTTAAGAAGGGTAGAACGGGGAGTATCTTGCAGCAGCAGGGTGAGTTACTCAGATTCATGAGCGAATGAGTGATTTTATAGTCAGCAGCAAGGCAAGCAGGATCCTTTTTCTTCTTACGTCTTGCATGGCATCATGTAACGCTTTATCAACTCAGGTTCCCACGGCAAACTGAAAGAACATAAGTGACTCAAAGTAAGTTCCTCCAGTTTTAAGCAAAGCATTACTTTATTTGTATTTTTGAGACCAGAGGAACGGCTGGAGGCGTTAAATCCAGAGGGAAAGGGGTCCCACTCACCCAGCAGATAATATTGCCCTGGTCTCTTGAAGCAGTGCTGGGTACCACGGGATCAATACTTGATTTTGTTTGACGTGAAAAGTCAGTGAGAGTTTGCCCCAGCTGAAAGGAGCCGTCAGCTGAAGGCGCAGCAAGGGCAGCATTCTGTGGGCGATAGCTGAACTGAATGTTTCTTGCCTTTGGAGGCAAGAGATGGGGAGCAGAACGAGCCCAGCGCTGGCTGAGCTCCCCTCACCACCCAGCGTCAGAGGAACGGCCCGGGGTTCCCCGCCTTCACCGGGCTGTGTCCGTCTCCGTGGAAAATCCCCGACCAGGGCATGGCAAACCAGAGCTGGGTCGCTCCCACTGCGGCGGGTGAGCCTGCTCCAGTGCCGCTCCCCGCTGGCATCTCGGCTGCCGGCGTGCAACGTCTGCTAAATACAGGCTCTGCATCGGAGGGGCGAAATCACATCCCCATGCTGGGAAGAACTGGGGACAGTGCCAAATGCTGCTGGCGTGGGTCGATGGGTATGGTTACCCAGAACGTGACAAAAATGGAGATGAACAGTAGAGATACTTTCCATCTGCAATAGTGCAATAACTAGGCTCCTCTCCCCTGTGATGCCTGGCCTCCTGTACCTACGGGAGCCCACGCAGGCAGCCAGGTTTTGTCAAAATTGGATATTAGGAAAAATTTCTCGATGGAAAGGGCTGTCAGGCCCTGGCCCAGGCTGCCCGGGGGAAGGGCTGAGTCCCCATCCCTGGGGGGATTTAAAAGCCGGGGAGTTGTGGTGCTGAGGGACATGGTTTAGTGGTGGGCTTGGCGGTGCTGGGTTAACGGTTGGATTGATGATCTTAAAGGGCTTTTCCAACCTAAACGATTCTGTGATTCTATTCCATGACATCAGAGCGCCGTGAGGGAATACTGTCCCCATCCACAAGCCAGCAGCTAACGGCGAGGGG